AAATGTGTTGGCATCCCGGCTGAATGCATCTTGTTCATTATATCTAAATCGGACACCAATAAAACTACCCAAAGTTATCCAGTAAGATTTTAATAGAGCTTCCATCTAAACAGATACAGCTGTCTCTGAATTTGTGGTTCCACCGACAAAACATATCAGCACCCAAACCGGGATTGCAAGCGTTACTTCTTACGTTCTGTTCTCTGTTTGATTCGATTCCCAGTCGAGATCGCTTTTAGTGTCCTGCTTTCTTCGACAGAAATCATCCTAATTCTTTTCTCGGTATACCTCTCAATTGGCATTTAATTCTCTTTAGAACCGAAAAATAACCTTCTTCAATGCAGCATAACTGAGTTATTGGTGATACTAAAACAGCCCGCTTTTCCTCTCGTGCACGCCTTAACGTCATCATCAATATATCAACTATCGACAGCTGGCAAGTATGCGATATGGTTTTTGCTGTGCATTTTGCCATGGAACTCAAACGTTTGTTTGCAACTGATAAAAGTTCAGATGTCCGATTGATCACTTTATTCATAGTTTCCTATACTACTCAAAAATCCTTAGCTTTTGTTGTCTTTTGCCTAAAATAATCTAATATAACGTTCTTTTACCCATTTTTTATTCCACCCCGTATCGTCAACCACCCGGACATCCATCCTGCAGATATCCATCCATCCGTCCATCCATCTGTGCGTACATTCCGACGTTCTTTCGTCTGTTTCGTTTTCAGCTTTCTCAATCCTCTTCCCCTCGTCCTCGTCGTAACTCGGCTCCCTCCTCAGACACAGTTACTGCAATCCAGTCTGCGTGAATTGCTAGGGGCATATTTGTGAGACATTCTTTTCGTTTTTTATTAGAAGAGAAAACAAATTTGTTTGAGCTTGGGCAAAAGTTTACAGCATCTTTAATATGTTTCTTTTGCAATCAAAACAAGCTAGACATATCTTTACCAATTGCGCATCCACTGGAATGCAACCCATCCGAGAAGCAGGTCAGATGTAAAGTACTGATAGCCTCATTTGGTTGTAAACACGCACGCAGGACAGAGCGACGGATACAGCCAGAGGATCCCGTTCAAAAGATAAAGGAAGCGGGAAAGGGGGATAGTATGCTATGTCCGTCTTCCTCTAATATCATTTTGGTACTGACCCGTTCGTGCACACAGACGTACAGCAGACTGATGGATACTTCGTGAAATGATATCTACTGGACAGTACTGCTCTATCCGTCACTCATATTTCTCTCATGCCGATAAGAGATAGCAAACATGATAAGCATATTTCGGAAAAGGTTTTCTGTCCTTGTATCTCTCCAACGTAGGTCTGCTACTTGCAGTGAAATTGCCAGATTTTTATTGCTTGGGAAATGTGAGGATGGCTATGCAATCCTCCTATGTAAAACTAACTTTTTGACGCCTAATTGTGTCCTGCGCACTACGTCAAGAGTGATTCTTTCTACTTGAGTTCATATTAGGTTTAGGGGTTTAATGCAGAAAATTGTAGAAATACGTGAAGCTAAGAAATCGGAAAAACCTGGGGAAGTGTAAATCAATGTGAAAATAACCTGTGATTAAAATGAAACACTCTGAATGTGACGTCCTATCTTTAGACCATCCGGGAATAGGATGAAAACAAATGTACCTGTTTGTTCGGTCCTCATTTGTTATTGTAGTTGAACAGCAGCAGCTCATACCAAACTTTCCTTTTGCGGCACTAGAAAGGACAGAATATTATTTATGACTGATCTAATCTCCTGTTTGAAATTTCAATGACAGAAACACAACTTTAAAATAACTGAACTCTGAAAATTTCAGTCATCTCAATCACTTATTATTTTTCAAAGTATAGTAGCATTTCCTCACAAACGAATAAGATTGATGTCTTTCGGTATGATTACTTTGATAGACAGTCAACGTATGTTATCCATCCGTTAGGTGAACAACTGGGTATTGTTTACTCAGCGACTTTTTGAGTACAATGTGGTCTCATCAATAAATCAAAACTAGCAGGATTGATTCTTACCTGTGCTTCCATTTTAACTAAGAAAAGGTGTACACAAAAGATCAGTGTCGTTTTCGGAAATATAAATGAATAAGAATTCACAGTTTTCCTACAAAATATTCTCACTCCCCAAATCACTTTTACCTTAAAAGTTGCTCGCAATAAATCTCGTGTCCCAATTGGATGGTTTGACGAATGCACTACACAATCCTCCTGAATATCTGTCGTAAATGAAATTCGTGCACTATTTCAGCTTCATAATATAAGATGTCCAGGGAATCTGGAACCTGAACTCTGCCTGTGCAGAGAAGCTGAGAAGCACTATATAACTGCATTATCCCCATTCAATATAATCAATTGAAGGAATCTGGCCCCAAATGAGAATCGAACCAATGCTCTCACAGAAATGGAATAAGCGTATTGGTCACAAAATTGCCAGTCTCCAGTTCGAACTGTTTCATTTTGTCCCAAAGCCACTTATCTTAACCTACGCCAGTAGCTTTGAATTACTTTCCTCCTGAACTGGCGTGTGACGAATCATTGACACGGTGTTATTCAATTGTAGCGGTCACTGGGCGCCAGACCTTGTCTGATAATCATCACAAAAAAGAGGGGGTGAAATTTCAAAAAGCGAGGTGTTTCAGGAGCAAAAGTATACAACGTACTAAACTCCTTAGCATAAACTAGTATGGGGGTATGGATTTTCTTACCTGTAAATCTCTATAGAGTAAACTTTGCTAGTTGTGGGTCACCTTAATATTTAGAATAATTGAAGAAACTAGTTAAACCAAAAAATCTAAAATATATTTACCCCATCAAGATGATTACAACTCAACCGTGCCTCAATTTTGATCCAACTCATATAACCTATATCACTTATGTATTAAAAACAGATAACAGCGCGTTGCTTCTTTGGATAGCAGTGGCCGAACTCGAACTGTGAACCTTCGATTTTGAACATAAATTTTCTTGAGGTCAACATAGCACTGCTCAGTGCGTTGGAAACAACGACGGTGTAAATAGGGCACTCAAAACTTTGAATTTAGAAATCCCATCAATTCCATCCGATCTTTGATTGCTGACCTACGAGAAGAACGGCACGAGTTCATTTGCACGCCAATTAGCGCAAAACTGGTGGAAGATTACCAATATCACGTACAGTTCTCACACATTTTGGATCAAAGATCGGTGGTACAATTGCCCATTTCTCAACTGTGTTTTATTGCACCCGTGTACACAACTGTCTTATTGAAGGCATTTTTGTTGGCAAATATTCGTATTCTAAGTGCTTGTGTGTGCATATGTAACTGATTTGGCAGTATCACGTTAAGAGCATGATGTGCATAGTTAAAGCCAAGAGTGTTCAACCGATCTCGTATAAGGATACATCTATTCTCTATAACGTTGACTGAATCACTGTGATCCGATAAGCCGTAATAGTGTAAGGGCCACGATACTCAGAATCCTCTCACATAATCGCTTGGCATGAGGCCTAAGGGGTTACCACCGTGTGAGTAGCACATGTCTGGGCTAATTCTATATGAATCCAAAGTAGTGCCCCATATTCTTAGGTTTCTCACTCTGTCCGTATCTTGACTGGCTGCGAAAAAACAGTTGTTCTCTGTATTAGGTTACACAAAAACGGGTGAGAACATCGTATATCGGAAACTCGTCACTGGCTGACAAAATAAACAAACTCAAAATGTTATTTAAATTTAATGTAACCCAGATGATTCTATGGTTTTGCTTTAATATTAAGAAAAAAACCTATCTGCTTGGCAGATTGTTTCACAATATATCACTCCACAAAGCTAAAGGAAACAATTAACCAAAGTATTTCAAAGAAAAACAGAGCAACTATGGAATGCAATCTGCGATATGTTAGTGGAACATGGTGAGTACAAGTTTGACTAATTCTCTCTCTCTTCGACGATGGTATCCACAAAAACAGTGTACGTGTTCTTTGTCCACGTTGTCCTCGAGGTCGCTTGAGAGTGTCCGATATTTCAGCGAGGATCGACATAAAATGAACACGCTTACTACAAATTCCATTCCAAGGTCATGTTTTCGTCGACCACTTACCTACTTGCTTGCTTGCCACCGAACTATAATAAGTATGATTTGATACAGCCTATAAATCCGCTATAGCTCCTCACACACGCATGCACAAACTTTGGTCAATGTATCTCTACCATACGTTTAGACCCTAGAGATTCAAAATCTTCGGACGTTGGAAGAATCAGGAAAAGTAAAAAAACATGGTTATTTAAAGTTAACTGTTAGTCAAGTACAATTTTTATGAACACGTTTTATGTGATACATGGGCTAGAGAGAAACACCGTCGACCAAATAATGAATTGTTATATATAAGTACAAAAAAGTAAACTGATCGCGTAATAGCTACTGACCAGATGATTGAGAACGGTCTCGTTCATAATAATTTTATGAAATTACGCTATGTTGTTCTTTCCATGAAACCAGCTGCGGTAAACAGAATTGTGTTTATTGCATTGCGACTGATTTGTGGGGCTGTTTGTGACCTGTTTTATGCCCATGTAATCGATACTTACTAAAGACACTTTAGTCAAACAGGAGGCAGGCGAAAAATCCCTTATCAGGAAAACATCTCCCGAACTTTTAGGCTACTGGGTGAATGTGGATGGCATGGGCTTGGGTTAGAAGACCGGTGGTGCGTTGTCTCAGATTAGATCAGCCAGACATGGAGTGATATTTATGTTGTAAATATCAGCAATTGGATGCGAACTAGTGAAATCGTGGCTCGGCCTACCAAGATGCTGTTTCTCGAAACACTCGATGCGATAACACAGATGTGGAGTTAAAACTATGTTGAGCGACTATTTCCAACCCGAGTTGGTACGAGTATAAAAATGCCAGCTACTAATGGTCGGATCCACAAAATTCATGTTAATAATGAATCCCGGAATTCTGGATCGTTTTACTCAACAGGCACACTATCTTCTCTTTTGATCGATTTAGTCGTTCTTCGATCGGCAAATCAAGGCTGAGAGTGAATTGATCGCCGCGGCTACAGCACGTTTAACGAAGGATGCCACCGGCAAACCCGATCGTTCCTTGCCCAGAACAAACAGCTCTGCGGAACTGACATCGACGACCAGGTTGAATTCTGAATTGCTGTTTCGGCAACAAATTTGTCATTTTCTTCCCGTTGTCCCAGTACGTATGCCCAACACTGCTCAACAAGAAATCAAAAGTAAGTGGGGTATTCCTTCTCCGCGAATCGTGAATGATTTTCATGAACCATATTCTGCCCGTTTACTGATGTCCTAATAGAGCTGTGTCAGGATGTACAGCTGACAGGTCGTTCATTTAACAAGCGGAGAAAGGCAGAGTTCGGATCAACGGATCGCCATTAGCTAGTTATTAACATGGATTGCAGAATGGACCAATGTACTGATCTGTTTTTTCTGTCGACAGTAAAGTTGAGGTTTAAAATCTGCAAGCTATTGTGAATACCACTTGTTTGTTTAGGAATACTATTTTGAAGCTTTATTAGGCCAATAGTTCAATTTACAGCACATTCCGTTTTCGTACGGTGGCCGTTGCTATCCGTACGTCACCAGTTCCAGTCCCACCACCAACAAATCTGCCCGTTTCTTTTTTTCTAGTCATCTCCTGATCGGCCACAACTTTCTCTTTTCTTAAACAGTTGATTACGCAATTCTGTTTGAGGAGAAGAAATAATAAATGTAAAACAAATAATAAACATATATATATTTAATTAATAAATAAATTTCAATTTATGAATAATAAATTACATAAATAAATATTGAACATTAAATGTCAAGTGATTCCAACCAATTAGTTCATGTCGATCTCTAAACTGATAAGCACCTATGGCATTATGACAGCTTAACTTGTCTATCTTTAAAAGTATGGGAATGCTTCATATTAATTTTGCAAATTATAAAGTTGGGATTCGGGCCCCGTAGCGGCCATGTTATTCAAACTAGACTTGTTACCTAATTCGCGGTCATCAGAAACCAATCGAGAAGAAAGAAGTAAAGGAAGCAAATTCTGTCGGAAACATCTTTTCACTCGTTTTAAGCGATAGACTTACTGAGTTACCCGATAAGGAGCAACTGTCACATGTTTATTCTTGTTTGGGATTCGTCAGCTCTGCGTAAATTTGATGTTCCTTTTTGGACTCTCGTTGCAAGTCTTCCGGGTTGGGGGTCAATTTCTTAACCCCTGAGTAACACGATCAACAGCAAATACCTCAAGCGAACAGTCAGTTTAATCCAAGTCAAGTCACAAATCGCTTTATTCATCCCAATGGATGGAATTTTTGCGCGGAGCAGAATAAAACAATTCTAATTCCATTTGCGTTAAAGTACATTTAATGTATGGTAAATAAAAAAACTCGCAAGGAGTTAAACCCCCAAGCACATCACGTCCAAGCTCGGCACAATGACCAGTTTCTCTGAATTAATTCCACGTGGACCAGTAAACATAAGTCTAACTTAGCCTGTTCATTCACTCAACGTTTTGCCTGCTAACCAGTTAGCTCAGGAGTAAGGGTTTTGAGCCCCAACCTGAAATTTTACGTTTAAAACCCCAATAGGAACACAGAAAATTGGATCAAGCACACAGACGAGGAAAAGGGAATATACCTGTCTCAGCATCCGGATTGGACAAGATGGACATCACAAGTGTTAACACTAATCTGCCTGTGAACTAATTAATCAACAGAGATTGTTATTCTCCACTTGGTACGTCCAGGGTACAGGGACTGAGATGACTTTCTGTCACAGGACAGATAGTAACAGAATGTGTATACAAAAAGCGTGAAAAACTCAATGTGAAATTCTTTCAGCTACGTTCAATTAGTTCAAACTTAGGAGTATGAGACAGCATTGTTCGTGAACAAAATAAGTAACAATTGCAGACTTCAAAATTTATACGGAATACTGGACTCCGAGCTCAGAGTGGGATGTAAAATATTCATAAATGCCTGAGGTATTTCAAATATTGTTCACTGGTGATTCGCATGGAAGTAAAGTATGTTTCATATACCACAATACTGTCCGTAAAATGAAAAATTGCCATATAATTGTTGTTACTCTTGGTTGAAGATGATCGTTTACGTGCCATCGTCGATTTCCAAAGTTTCCACATTGGGACGGCACCAGTAAATGAAAACTGGATTATTCGCTGGATACAAAATTTGTTTATCTGATTAATCTACTTTACTCATTTACTCGGCAGTGTTTTATGTTGACAGTTATCTCGGGTTTTCAAGTTTGTTTACCATCACATCAGCCTTATCAAGTTAATTCTTCACCGAACCAATTTCACCATTGATTTTCGCAGATCAAAATAATCAGTACGTTTATCCGAATCGGTACTTTCTGTCTACATCAGACGTATAACAAAGCCCTCCCTCAGAAATCCAAAACTTTCGGTTAATGTGTCTGAAAACATCAAGTTTTATCCTCATGATGCAAAGTTTATTTAGATGAATTAGGGAACAAGGGTCTGTATTTGATAATCTTGTTAATCAACTCTCGATATCTGTTAAATTTGAGCACTCAGCTGAAAACAAACAGAGAACCCGCTTAGACTACCTACGCGATAGTCCGAATCAAGGGAACAAGTTTGCTGCAGTTCAAATAAAACACATAGTGAATTGTTCGATGAATTACCGAATCATCTGTCAACTGATTCGAGTGACGCTCAAACACAGGTGTTCATCAGGTTCTGCATCTTATGCGGACCAAGTAAGACTCGGTCCAAATTACTGCATCTAGGAGACAAGTTGTGTGGGTAACATAGACATTACCATTTATCTCAACCTCGTTTTTAGCGATACTCAGCGATAGGGGGAATCTCACTTTTGGAAATATATTGCTCCTTAATATGTGCCCAGCGGAACAACATTTATACTAAGGGTTCATCGTACAATAACCAAAGAAACTTGGAGAAATCAGTGGCCTCGATTAGAGAAAAAAACAGTACTAATTACGCCTAGAAAGACTGTTTTCAATCTCCATTGCCACATGATGCATAAAGTAATAGTCCAAATAGTAAGATAGTATATCAATTACGAATTAGAACAGCAAAATTTCGTATCTTTTAACACAATATGTCAAGGTTATCGACGGAATTGGCTGTGTTGTAATCACACTCGTGCTGCGCTGGACAAAGAAACCAGTAGTGGAACATAACGAGATATTGTGTGAGTTTCCGGGGACATAAACCACGCCAGTGGTGTTTGTTGAAAGTCTCAGTTGGAATATCGTTGACTCTTGGTCTCCGTCCTCAGTCAAGGAAAAATGATGATGATCAATCTATGTGCACTCAGGGCAACAGTGGATATTCCTCGTGAATTGATCCGGTTAACTCCCAACAAGACGGGGACGTGATGCAGTTTTACTCGCTGACTTCCTATAATTTCATTGATTTCTTGATAGATGAATCAAATGAATAGCTTCTCAAAAACGGCTCTCCACACATTTAATAATTCATTCCGGCCATAGACTATTCAAGTATTTGCAATTTATGGTATATATCATTATTATTATGGGATATATTTCCATTCCCATTTCAAATTAAATGGATAGACCTAAGAAATGAAAAATACAAAAGGGAGGAAACTAAACCTACTTACACTTCTTCATCGACAGAAATAAAATAAACGAGCTCTGCTTATTAATAAAACCCCTGAATGGGTATTCGATATGTGGGATTATTTCATCCGTAGACACCTGGTGTTCAACAACACTGTTTCGGCACTTCCATTCAGATTCAGCGAGATTGGCTTTTGCAAAAATAGAAACCGTCTGTTTGTTTATGCAGTAAGGTTGTCGTAAATTCATTTGACTATTCCAATTGTTTTGTTCAAGTAATGCTGAGCATTGGTCTCTTATGATCCAGCAGATTCCACTTCGACAAACGGTAACAATGTTCACCCTCGTTGTTCTACTATAAACGCCACCACCCCACCCCACCCCACCCCACCCCTAAATACCTGATATGCAATGCATTCCCACACTCACCGGGTTCACGCACAAACACTTTACCGCACAGATCAGTGGAATTTATCTCGGCTAAATGGAAGGGTAGTAGCATGCAGAAGACTTATAAGGCCGATCCGGTTATTCTCAATCTACTGTTTTTAGAGTGCACTGATTCCATCCACGAACTGAGTATACAACAGTGATAATGACTACTGTGTTCTGTTAAGTCCAACGTTTACGGCTTCCTGGTAACATGAACAGGGAATGGAATTATGTCTCGTCACTGGCAGCATGAGCCTCGTTAGCCTAACGACTAGGATAGTTGTCCTTTACGACAATGGCAAATCATTCACCAAACATCCCATTGGGACAATCTAGGGTTCAAAATCGAGTGTTTCTTTGAATTATTAAACATCATTTATCACTCCATCGTTTGCCTTCTATACCATTAATCCGTTCCACTTAAAATCACATTGCCCCGGAAACTGTTCTGCTTAAGTTAGGAGGGTAATCTCACGATGTCTAACTAGCGTGAAAGTCATTACTTAAGTAGTAAACTATTCAGTGATTTTATCTGGAATTATTCGACTAGTGTCATACTAAACTTGTAGTATCCTTATTTGGAAAATTCATTCCTTTCCTTTTGGTTTCTGTAGGTCCTACACGATTTAGTAACGAGGTTGACTACAAGAAAATGAGCGTGCAAAATCTCCTATGGACTGCTCTGATCAGCCGTGCTGTGGACTTTGACTGGAGTAGTCTTGAACAAGCCCGACAGCTCAGTGTGACTGCTCTGTTGGTGGCAATCGGAATGCTCGGTTGCGTTGGTATTGTGGACATTTGTGGTTGGATGGTGCAACTGCGTTACCTCAACCCACTGTACAAAACCGCCCGATCCGGTGAGGCTAGTCATACATCTAGGAGTGAGTTGCAGTCCGGTTGTTCGAATCTAATCCCTGTGGATCCGGACCACATAGTTCTAGTGTCACCCCAACCGCCACCAATTATTCCTTATCCTGAAGAAGAAGAACAAAACGGTGACCAACAACGTCTCCCAGTAAGACCGCCTGCATCACCCACGGCACAAACACATTCATCATTGTTAGGACTTGATTCCCCACTAGCCGGTCCAAAACGGACCAGTCTGAAGACTAGCTGGACGCAGCAGCAGCAGCAGCAGCATCACCACAACCAACAGCAGCAACAACAACCGCAGTTACCCCTGACCGCTTTCTACGTGGATCCCAATTTGGTCCTAACATCGAATACCATCCATGGTCTTCCACTTGCCGTTTCCTCTCAGTCCGTCCCAATCTACATTGCCCACACACCAGGGTCTCCTATCGTGATTGCCCCAACATCTGGAATGAGCCCAACCCAAACCCGTACGACACAATCCACATGACGAGAATCACAAAACAACACCGGATCCTTCCAATCTCAAACCTCAGTTTGCTTTACATTGTTTTGCCTCAATTGAAGAAATATCCCCCTCCCGCCGTCCAGAACATTCCAATTAGGGCACAGAGAGAGAGAGCAAACAAGGAATTCTACCAAGAAAAACTCGTGCACACAATCGAGTGCGAAATTAAGTGATAGGCTTGTTACATAATGGAAATGAATTTTTTCACCAGGCATCAGTCGCACACACACACACACATTCAGTACTCGAATTACAAAACGATTTAAGCTCGTATCCGAGGGATGTAAGATTTTCGCTACAAATTCGGACCAGCGATTTAGTTCATTCTGTGTTTGTTTATATGAGTGAACATGTGTCTGTCTCTTTGTCCGTCTGCATACATGTGCACGTGTGTGGAAATAAAACAGTTGGTCAAGCGGCCGATTTGTCCTTGTGCCTAATAAACAATTACTGTCCGGATAAAAGGCCCCTTGTCCGATCTATTGAAACCCCCGAGAAAGAAAGAAAAACTCATCTTCAACTGTGATCGGAAATTAATGGTTATGCTGCTTTCGTTTGCAGCGTTTCGATGCGTCCACCAATCCCTCGCTATCTCCTCTTCTCGCGTACACACTCTCCCGGATCGCCCTATTCAGCAACCCCACCGCCCACCGCCGTTCCGCTTCAGCGCCAGAATTGTACAGTCATGTAACAAGTGCACAGGAGAACAATTAGGCACACAATGGTTTTGTTTCACATTTTTTTTTAGTTCTCCCCAAAAAACTTTTGTGCACAGACTAGGATTGTGCATGCCGTCTCTCTCTTTCGCACACGCGCACACACACACACAAACACGCACATGCCATATTATTTCCGTACGTATGATCGTACCCATCAGATGTGTGCAAGTATGTACATATGCATGTGTGCTTGTGCACCTGCGTGTTCGTGTGTGCATGTGGTTGTATGTCTACTGATGTGCATCCATTTATAGAAACAGATACATGGCATAGAACTATGTTCACAATAGATCGTAACCCAACTAACGTCAACGACAACGAACAACAAAATAAACTTCAATTCTTTTGTACACTCTGTTTCACATCCACGTTGTATAGATACCGGTGCACACACGCGCACACACACACACTTCAACCACAGACACCCACATTGTATTGTACACACATCTGCCGAAACAGTAGGCTTATTTCGAAATTGGAAATGTTTGTATTGCAAAAAAAGGTGCAAATGAACGTTGGATGTGCATATAGTGTATATTAATGCTGTCTCCGGTGTACAAAATACTAGTGTGTGGTGGGCGGTATGGATTAGAACTCGAGTTAATTTTTCCCTCCTTTCAACAATTCCACTCAACTCTGTAAATCTGATCAAAGCTGGGGAGTAGGCCGAAACATTTGGACGGGTGGTTCTGGAGCTTTCTGCTGAGTGAGAAATAAAGCACATTCGTTTTACTGTCAAACAAATTAGACAGTCGCGCTTAATCGTACAGAGTAAACGGATATCCGGGGCTTTGGGCACAAATACACATACATACATATCCGCAAAATGTCACACTACACAACAGATCTGATAAGAAAAATCGACTCAGTATGAGCTGATGGGCTTGTCACATTATATTTTCGTTTGGACGAAAATGACATCAGAATAAATGCTCATTTGGCACCTCATTTTAATGAGATCAAATATGAATATTTCCATGACTAGGATAGGCCAATTGCGTGAATCATGCAACTTTTGGAAAGCAACATTTCCGCCAACAAATCCTGAAACAATTCTGTCTAAATGTGTTTATATAGCATTCAAAACAGGTGTTGGAACGAATGCAAATACGCATGCCATCCTATTCCGATAAATGTGTATGAACCGATTGAATCAACAGAGTCCATTCTCAAGGAGTCCCGGAACGATTACTTAAATAAGCCTGAGCATATTACGATTATTATAGGATGAATTTCCTTGTGTATGGAGAAAAGGAAAGTGAAATGAAGAGCTATAAAGTACTGTACACCTGCTAAAAATTTGCTGGGTCTTGTAAGCAAGAATTAAACCCGGGACCTCGTTGGTCGAAAACAAACTTGACAACCACAACACCACCATGCAGTAAAACACACAGTTTCATTGTATCTACGCCTATTATACCACAAATAATCTCTGTATACTTCTGGCAAACGTCTTATCTTGTCCAACTGAGCATTATCTTCCCGAAGTAGGAGACTGAGTTCAGAGCATTGAGAACTCTAAATTGCGTTTCCTAATTCCATAGAACGACATTGACCAGTGCGTGCACGGTCATGCGTATTCACAGCAAAGAATGGCGAGAAAAATGAATATTAGGAATCGAGGTTTAAAGCAGACATCTGTGGATCAAAAATCCTGGTGCAGCGGATGCGGAAAAATTGCGTGAAGAATAATGGTAAAGATAGAACAGAGGCGGTTAATTCAATGCACAACAGCTATTCCCGGAACTATACGCCGAAGAAGGTATGAATAAGCGGACGTTACAAGTAGGTTATTCTCAATTGGAACGAAAGTGACCAAGCAAATTTTCATATCACTCTTTAGCAGTATGAGTGTTCGTTCATAGGGGAATATTAGCGTTATGAGGATACAGAGAATTATTGTGAATATCTGCTGTATTTTGCCTCGCGAGGGAGGTCGAAGAGCGCAACATATTCTTGGCAATTATCTACTAAGATGAAGGAACTTTCAGATATCAAAGGAAATGGAGGGAATAAATGATGTATATTTTCATTGCTAACTCGTTTTATGGACTTGAATGGATTCTCTATTTGCTTTATGCGTAACTTGGTTCAATCTTAACCGAAAATACTGCGTTAGTTCCGTTTGGTTTCAGGCATATTGTGGCCTTAACGTGTTCATCCATTTTATTTCAGTGTTTCATGCCCGCGAAATTTCAAATGTTTTACCTCGCCAGTCTTAGCTGACAATTCATCGGTAACCTCCTGAGATGTTTCCGGTGACTGGAGTTAACTGCAAGTCTAAAGTCAGTGAATCTGTAGGTTGCAAGGTCTGTCTTTAAATTGCATGACTGATGATTAGTAGGTGAGTGTTGACTAATTTCCGCATGGATCCCTTAAGGATACCTGAGATGATGGTTGGTTTAAGCCTGGCAGGTGATCTTTTCGTACTAAAAAAAACTGACGAATGTTCCTGAAAAGTAAAATCACTTGTGCTAATATGGTTTCTCACGAACTAAGGCTCTCATTTTCAATCTGGTCAACAAGTGCAAGCATATCCGAGCAGTCCGACTAAACAGGTCACCGGTTATTATACAATGAATTTTTATTTGCAAACCAATACATTACTTGGTCCCACTGCGGCTACTTGATCGCCCCTTAGATCCGCTCATCTGAAATAGGTCCCACTACCACGAAACGAACAAGTAGCAGTAAAACTGCTCTGAGTAGATAAACTTTGATCTTTATCGCATCTCATTTTGAACAACACGGGTAACAACAGATAAGTATTTTGAAAGTTCTCCGAGCCCTCAAAACGCAATGGAGTTGACACGAATGCCTGACAGGATATCCCCTGATTCCTAGTCTGGTGTCTCGAGACGGATAAGGGGACGGTGGCGAAACTGGAGCGGCACCGACGACGCACAAGAGGGAACACAGGATTGCGAGGACACACTTCCAGACAGTCCCTCAGTATTTCGACGTTCAGAATAGCGCTGCAAGATAATAGGAAGAAACACGCCATACACCTAAAATGTTCAGTGAGATACAAGTATTTATGATAAAATATTCCTGAAGCGGTTGCCAAGCGTTACAGTACAACACCAGGGTTACCAACAACGGCAACACAACACCGAGATGGACACTGTCATCTTCATTGCGGAGAAGATTGGAGAACCTGAAAATGAATCAAAATAATGAATGGAGTTAAGGAAAATGTCACTTTTCTACCGAAACGTTTGGCACTCAGTGTAACGCTAAATTAAATATAGCTATAGCAACAACCCTTTCGTTTCGGAATAAACCAAACTGTCACTTATCTAGTATCCGACATCTTGCTGGAGAGTGAGAGAGAACAATGGGTGCGAAGTTGACCTGAATGTGTTAAAATTGGAATTGGAGCACGTAATGTTATTCGTGAGTAGAGAGCGATGTGAGATGTATCCTTCTAATGATCCTTGGTTTAGAGGTCATCTCTATGCTGATGTCGATCAACTGGATCTTTTTCCCTCAGACAAAAAAGGTCAAAAGAGCACACTAATTATCTGCTGATATTGAGAATGAAAAATTTCAACTGGCGTATCCATGTCCTCACGAAGTGGCCAATCCATGACAAATGTCAGCAGATAATTTTCAGAATTTTTCATTTGTGGAACATAGTGACTTTCAGTCACATACAAATTTTTACACAAGCTGACATTTACGGTGGCCTCTCTCAATCTCCTCCATTTCAATTTATCTATCTCACCTCTGCAGATTGTGGGTCTATATAGATCATTTCAAAACCTGACTTTGCTTAAACAGATTATTTCTAATGCATTGAATTGAAAATGTAAAATCAAACTTAATCAGCTGTTAAGATTTCTTTCGAGATCTTGATTTCCTCAGTCAGCTTTGCACGGCCGTAGGCTTCTTCCTGAAATTTGTTTTTTAATTTGCGTTTGTGTTCATTTGTATGTGTATTAAAAGGAAAATGATGCAAAAAATATTATTTTCATTGGTATCCAGCAGCTTTTGGGTTGAGTGATACACGTTTGCTTTTTTTATGTCGCGTGGAATTGTCTTCCCAGACCGGTCTTTATATCTATAAACCCTAAAAACTTCCACAAATGACTTTCAGAAAGGCTTACAACGAATGCCAGTTATCGGTAGAAGAGATAGTTTTCTAGATAAACATCGTGATTTCCAGTGAGGACAGAGGGGGGGGCGTCGTTGGTTACATAACGGATGGTACTGAAGAAGTGATATTTTATAACCATGTACGAATTGAACCGATTCTGAACT